GAGGGAGAGGGAGAGGGAGAGGGAGAGGGAGAGGGAAAGAGAGAGAGAGAGAGAGAGACAGACAGACACACAGAATCCGAAGGAGGCTCCGGGCTCCAAGCTGACAGCACAGAGACCGACACGGGGCTCGAACCCACAAACCATGAGATCATGACCTGAGCCGTGCAGGTGCCCCTTCATTTGTTGTTTTTAAGACAAGACCGTTGTGTGGCAGGTGGCACAGCCTGACCCTGGATCTGGACTTCATTCCCTTGTGAGCCACGTGGCTGTACACGGGAGGCACTCTGCCAAGAAGTGGCACCTAACAGGGCACCCAGGGACCAGCACTGAACAACTTCTAATGTGAACTGCTCTGACTTAGGGACCAGGAGAGAACGGAGAACAAACAGCTTTGTCCGCACGTTTTGGAGTTCTGGTGAAGGCTGTGAGTAAATTTAAGCAACAGGGTTTATGCCAGGAGTGTTCTCACCTTCCTGAGCCTCCCTGGGCCCCTGCAGCCTCCCTGGGACTGCCCCCCGCTGGCCCTCTGGGTGCACGTGACAACCGCGGGCTCCTGACGGAGTGGGCCAGGCACATGCCGACAGCCTTCAGGACTGGCCAAATTTCCACTCCGTCATCGGAATGGCTTAACTTCCTGCAAACCGGTTGAGAACCCCTGTCCCACACACTCAGCTTCTAGAAAAAGTTCGTACATTAACTGGCGAAACATCTCCCGGATGCGCAGCACAAGTAGGAGCGTGACCACCGTCGGGATCCCATCACGCGGACTTCTCGGCACCAACACTTCCCAGAGCTCACCTGGGACCTCAGGTCAAGGCTCCCCGGGGCCGCCACTTTCTCCGTGCCGCAGCAAAGTGGGACAGGGTGCACACGCCAGACCAGCCCTCCCATCCCTGTCAGGGGCTGTGTGATCCCCACTGAAGCTCTGTGGCGCCGGGCTGGGGGTCGATCCCACCCCCGCCATCCTGTTACAACAACGTCATGCCAACGATCACCACGTAAATCCCCGTCCGTCGGTTGGCTTGGTTACTTCGTATCTCCCAGAATCAGGGTTCAGGAACGCTCCCTTGGGGGAAGGGACTGCCTGCCTCGGGCCTGCTGTGCCCAGTGCCCTGGACTCCTAGCACCCAGGTTCTGCCTAGAGTGGTTTACACCAGGCCCACTGGGAGCACACTACCTTGCCCACTGCTGTTGTGCTCACTGCTCACTAGAACACGGGACTGAAGGGACATTAATGTCGTAGCTAATGATACACTGTGAACGGCAACCCAGTCAGATGACCCCTCTGTGAACTATGACCTCCAGTCAGGAGGACGTCCCTGTGAACTGTGACCTCCAGTCAGATGACATCCCTGTGAACTGTGGCCTCCAGTCAGGTCTCCCTATGAACTAGGACGTGTCCGGCAGGTTTCCACGCCCCTCCCGGCAGATCAATAGATCGCATGATCACAATCATCATTTTGCACTAAAAGAGCAAAAATATAAAGTCGGTGGCCATAATTTCTTTTTTTTTTAATTTTTTTTTTACGTTTATTTAGTTTTGAGAAACAGAGTGAGACAAAGCGTGAGAGGAGGAGGGGCAGAGAGAGAAGGAGACACAGAATCTGAAGCAGGCTCTGAGCTCTGCTTGCTCTGAGCAAGCAGTCAGCACAGAGCCTGACGCGGGGCTCGAACCCATGAACTGTGAGATCGTGACCTGAGCCCAAGTCAGACGCTCAACTGACTGAGCCACCCAGGCACCCCAATAATTTCAACTATCAGCGCAACCTACGGAACACACCCACTGCAGTTTTCGACCTAAGATGGTTAATACCACGTTCAAGTAACTCATCCCATCTCGGAATCGGCGACTTTAACCTGTGTCAGGGAACGAAGGACACACGAGAAGCCCGGTTGGAAACAGAAACGCCCGTACCTTCATCAGTTCTTCCAGACAGGAGAGGTAGATTTTGAAGATGGCTGCTGCAGAGGGCGGTCCGATGTACTGCCTGATGTCAGCCCTGTCCACGAAGGCCACATCGATCCTCTCCGTGATGTTGGAAGTGGTCAGAATCACCACGTTGCAGTGCCTGGAGGCAGAGGAGTGAGCGCCAGTCGGCCGGTGCCTAGTGATTCCATCACACCCCCCACCCCCGTGCTCGAAGGTTCAGAATTCAGCCAGCGTCTCAGCCGGCTGCACCCCACGTCCCAAACCCGGCCTAGGAGGCCTCCTGAGGCCCACACCCGAGTGCCTGCCGGGCCCCCAACTCCCACCAGGCTCTCTTGGCTGCAACACAGTGTGCCAAGGAGGTGTTGCTCCTGTCTTCCAGCAAGTTGTCCCAGACCCCCACTTGACTGTTCCCTCTCTTTCATCAACTGTGGCATGACAAAACTCTCACTTTTTCTTTTTTCTTCCTCCCCCCCCCCCAATTTTATTTTTATCTCTAGAGACAGGGAAAGTGTGTATGTGCAGGGTGGGGGGGGGAGGGAGGGAGGGAGAGAGAGATAGAGAGAGAGAGAGAAAGAGAGAGAGAGAGAGAGAGAGAGAGAGGGAGAGAGAGAGAGAGAGAGAGAGAGAGAATCCCAAGCAGGCTCCATGCTCAGCTTGGAGCCCAGTGCAGGGCTTGATCCCACGACCTGAGCCAGTATCAAAAGTCAGACACTTAACCGCCTGAGCCACCCAAGCACCCCCAGAGCTCTCACTTTGTGTGCAGAGCCCTGAGCACCCCATCGACCTGCCAGGGCACAGCCAGCTGAGCACTCGACGCGCAGCTCTCGGGACTCCCACACGCCGTGGAGCTGAGGTATTTATCCTGTTTACGGGCTGCTTCCCCTTTAGCTTCCAAAGGACAAGAGAGCCCCGCTGTCCAGTCTGTCGGCCAGCGTGGCCAGCACACGGCAGGCACAAGGCATCCCACGAGCACGCTTCCCAGGCCACTGGGCTTGGTGTGGGGGATGTGGCGATGCTCTCCCGGGGCCCGAGTCAACACACAGGCCAGGCCGCAGGAAGCGTGTGGCCTGGGGAGCCCCCAGGAAGGCCAGCTTCACCCGGTGTCTGGAAACAGGTGTGTAGTGCGGGGTGAGCAAGGGTGAGCCACTGAGGGTTAGGGGCAGGGAGTGTGCGGGTCACAGGAGTCCGGGCGGAGGGATGACACGGCTGGGATTCTTGTCTGGGGACGGGCTTTGTCCCAAAGAGTCAGACCCACACAAAGGAAGGCCTGGAAGGGTGGTCTAGAGGGGCCTGAACAGGAAGCGTGAAGTTAAGGGCACAGGAAGGGGTGAGGGCAACCGGAAACCCGTGCGTCTCCATTCCCTCCTGAGCCCCCACACCTGCCAGCGACAGGAGGGGCACTGGGACCCCACCTTCTGGCTCGAGCAGGGGCTGCACAGGGAGGACATCGGGTCAATGGGAACCCTGGAGGCAGGAGCTGCAGGGCTGAGCGAGCGCCCAGGGAGTGTCCGACGCCCAGTCTAGGTGGACCCGCAGGCCCGTGAGGGGTGACCAACAGAAGAGGGAAGGAGGCTGACAACAGAAACTAGGCGGTCTGGAGAGTGGAGGCAGGGGAAGGGTGGCTGGAGGTCTGACGGTGCGGAAAATTCCAGGGAGGGCAGATGGCTCTCAGGTAAGGGAGGGGCAGAAACCAGACTGAGGAGCAGGGGCGGGGCTGGGAGCAGAGCCCAGGGAGGAAGGAGGAGCGGCTACAGGGGCACATGGCTGGCCCCGAGCAGGGTGGAAGCAAGCAGGCCAGCAACAGCTGCCGCTCAGGAAATTACAGCCCCTCACAGCAGGTCGCAGGTCGTAAACCGTAAATGTACTGCGGGAGGCCTGGGAAACAGCCCACGGCACGATTCGGTTCCCCACCAGTCCACGCGGACAAGCTAGCTCTGCAGCCGGGCAGCCTCCCGGTGGGAGAGCGCTCCCGGGACCCACCGAGGGCTGCGATCCGGGGTGGGGGTGGGGGCCCGGACCGAGTCAGGTTACGAGGAGTCACTCCCTAAAGCTGCACGGGCTCAGGGCACACTGACCACAGGCCCCGGACCCGCAAGGCTGGGCTGTGGAGACGTGAAATCTGGCCCCATGAAGCGCACGCGGGGGGCGCTCGCCTGTCCATCGCCAGCCCTGCAACGCCAACCGACACTGGGCCGGAGGGCGGCCGTGTTTCACGGTCACGCGCTTCTCCGCACACTTGAGTTTCGCTTTATGTTTCCGATACCTTAGTGAAAGTACCTGCCCACGAAGTGGTGCATTTAGCAGATACACCGCCTCAGGTGTGGGAGAAGGGCCGAAACTCAGCAGCCGTGTGTCCACTCAGAGGAGCTGAGTAACGTGTGGAGGCGTGCGTCCACCTCACACCCTCCCTGTGGCTTCTCACGTGAGACCACCGTGTCAGCATTACCTCTTAATCTGATCGATCTGGGTTAAGACAGCGTTGACCACACGGATGGCATCTGACGGCTCGGTACCTGCTCTGCAAGCGTTGCGGGCGGCCGTGAGGCTCTCCACCTGTGGGGATGGGGCGACAGGTCGGAAAGGACAGCACCCGACCCCAGGGGCAGCCATGCGCTGCATCAACCGAGCAAGCGAGGGACAAGTGAACGGGTACGCGTGAGCCCGCTATGCCAGGAGCTCGACGTGCGGGACGTCGGGGAGGAGAGGGCTGCGTGACAGGAGTGCCGGATGGAGGACGGACTCAGCCAGGGGTCCAATTTCCTTCAGTCACGGGTGTGATGTCCAGCTGCGCCTACCTCATCAATCAGCACGAACACCAGCGCATCTCTGTCATCAATCAAGTCCTGAATCTTCTGGAACATCTTCGTCACCAGCTTGCCACTCTGGAACCAAAACACTCCTTTAATGTTGACTTGTACGCTTCACGCCGCCTGCTGCACACCCTTATCTGCCGTCCCTGCCCAGCCTCGTTATGACCCCAGGGGGCCCCACAAACCCATGGCCTCCTGACGGCCCCCTGGAGAAATCCCTAAATCCCAGGAGCCAGGGCCACACGGGAGAGGCCGACCCACACGATCCCCTTGCCCCGCTCCACGTGCCAGGAAGCGCGCCCGAGCCCACGCCGGCTCAGCCCTGAGCCGCCTGGCACACACAGGTGCCTCAGCGCCCTCCCTCCTTCCTTTTGCCTGCCATCCGCACCACCAGGAACAAGATGGGTCACGGATGCAAGCTAAGTGCACTCCTTATGGGTGCTCCGCGTCCTGGCTCGCCACCCTCTGGAGGGATCTGTTTGCACCGGTGCCCGGGCAGAGCTCTCCTGTGCTGAGAGGCACCTGCAACATCACCTTGACCGAGCCCCACGGTTCGGACAGAGGAACACAGAGGAACGAGGCTCAGAGCCCTGAGGGCGTGCTCTCTGAGGATGCAGCCCTCTGCTGAACGCAGGTCCCGTCCTCAGAGAAAGCTGAGTGTCTGTCCCGCCCAAAGGTCTGGATGCCACCAGCAGAGGGTACTCTCGGGCCTATTTCCAAGTTACCGCTCAGTTCTGGAACTTCCCTCCGACCGCGAGTCCACCCTACTGTCACGTTACCTACTTCTGTCTGAAGCTCTCGGAGGAGAGTCTGCCTACTCTACGAGACAGCCGTCCAACTACATGGTTGACAATGCCGACAAGCAGAAGCGATGCTGATACTTACTTCCGAAAACCACTTAGAGAAGAGGCTGTGGCTGTTTATTTCAATTAATTGGCCGTACCGGTACCTGAGATGATAAAACAGAGTTACGACGAGTGGCTTCCAAATCGCTCCTACGGCACCCACAGGGGCGGCAACGCTTCTGCTTTAACCCAGCATCCCTCCGCTGCCCACTAACTGGTTAAGTCACCACAGCTACCAACGAGGGCTGGTGCAGCAGCTGCGCAAGTACTTACGACCATCTAACGACATGCAATCAGCGGTCCTAGCTGAAGCAAACTAAGGGTTTTGAACCGGAAAACATCTCTGCATCAAAACAACAGTAACATCTCTCTCGCTTTTCATCTGCTTGTAACTGACGTCTCAGGTGCTCTAAGAAGCATCACCAGCAGTAACGTGGTAGCAAAACAAAACGTAACCGTCAGACGTTTTCTGGCCAGAGCTGAACGTGTTTTCCTCCCTCCATAAACCCGACGAGTGGACAATCTGTTTCCCAGCAAAAACTCACTTCCTGTGGACCCCAGGGCCACGGGGCACCCGGAGGCCCCGAGGTCCACCTCAGTATATACTGACAGACTGCAATCTAGCACTGGTCCTCTGTGCACACGGGACACCTGGATGCACTTAGTTCTAACTAAAATCAAACAGGGAGCGAGACGGGGGCAAAAGGGAAGCCGAGCCCCGTCCCCGATGCCTCGAAAGTCTACGTGAGAAAAACAACCCCTTTCAAAAAATTGCAACTGGCTATCCGCTAATTCTGTTTACCAAAGAGGGGAGAGACAGACAACCTAATGGAATAAAGACTGGGTTGAATACTGAACAAAATGAACCCTAAGGCATTTCAATCAGGTGAGCAACAAAGGCTTGCTAAAGTTTCTCTCTGGCATTTCTAAGCCACAAAATAAATGCGTATTTCCAGACGGTTGTACTACAGGAAGTTTTCTTTCTTGCGGTAACATCTTCAGTGTCCAGTGTTTCAGGTAACGGCTCCAAGAGATCTGCAAGGCACAGATGCACCTCGGCAGGTCAAGACAAAACCAAGTTGCTCACACAGAATAAAAGGTAGAAAAAGAGCAACTTCCCTACACAAAAATACTCACGGGACATTTTTGAAAGGAAAGAAAATAAAGTATTCGTCCTAGGATACACGCTGGAGTAACAAGTCTCAGATCAATCCCCTGAATTAACCGGAAAAGGAGACGAAATCATCGCAACAGCATCTGTGAATGGCGCCAGACAGCAGGCGTCGGGACTGTCACCCAGACAGGAACGAGGGAGCTCGCAAGCGCTCTGGCTCTCTGCCTACAGCGCCTTCCGACCGCGACCCTGGAGGGGACCCAAGACGTGCACAGCCACCGCGCTGACTTGGACACAGAGGTCAGAGTTCGAGGAGCCTGAGGCAGCTGTAGGCTGCAGAGCAGAGTTCCAGAGGGGAGGTATACACGCAGGAGTAAAGCTCCGGGAATCATCACGGGGTCCCTCTGGGTCTTTGCTGACACTCGGGCGTGTGTGAATACGGAAATCCCAATCGGCTGGAGAGCCGTGAGGGGCGCGGCTCCTGGTGCTCACGGGCTGGGAAGCTCGAGTTCCCAATGGCCAACGTGCACAGTACCCGCTACCACTCAGGGTGCCCAAGTGAGATCCCAGAAGGGCCTCACTTCACTATTAAGTCTGGACTCCTTTCCAGTAAAGCTTAAAAACAAACCTCAAAAGGGTTGCCCTAAATCACAAATGCAATGCCTAGGGGAACAAAACCCGACAAAAACGATGTCTGCGTTCAACCAAAACTTACCTGACAGCACAAGCAGAAACGGACCCCAAACCAGGAGAAACACCGGTCAACAGAAAGACCCGGAACTGACAACAAGGATGGACTTAGCAGGGAAAGCTGTGAAATGGTGACCACACACCAGCTCAAACATTTTAACAAGAGGACGACGTGGAGAGAATTGAAAAGTATAAAAGGAACCAAGTGGAACAGCCAGAAAAGAAAACTATGCAAACAGAAATGAAAACGTCACTGAATTAAAAGCAAATCTGACATCTTAGAAAACTGCCCAAAATGGAACACAGAAAATTCTAAAATCCTCAAAGAAAAAAAGCCACACTGGTGGCCCAGGGGAGAACATCAAACAGTTGAACACGCAAATAAATGGGTCTGTTCCTAGAAAGTGAGTGTGTGTAGGGGGAATCTGTTGAGAAAATAACGGCCGAATGGAGTCTAGACGCAAGGACATCATGAGCCCCGAGAGAGACAGAACTCAAGGAGAAACACACAAATCCACCCCTAACTTGGCCATGCCTCTCTCAGGCAACAGGATGGGAGACCGTCAGCGAGAGCAGCAAGCATCCGGCCCTGAGAGCGGACTGCATTCTGACACACACGTGGGACAGTCACCCAAAGAGCACGTGCTGATCGTTAAAGGAAGCCCCGTAAACGTAAAAGACTGAAACTCTTAGGACAGTGCTCAGTACGGGAGTGAATTTGCTCCGAGAGAGAGGGATCTACTAGTAAAGGAAAATTAGGAAGAAATAAACAGCTTCCGTGTCACACATGAAAAGCAAGCGACCCAGTCCTGCTGCTCCCCTTTCTCGAATTACCAGAAGTTACCTGCTCGAAAGTCTGATGGTCAATTTCTGGGCTAGTGCCTTACACAGGGATGTTTTTCCAGTTCCCGGAGGACCTGTAACAAAACCCAAGCAGATGTGTTAAGTCAGCGTGGTAACAAATCCCTTAAAACAATGGGACCCGCATTATCCCCGGCACACACAGCAAGGAGTGGGGCTCAGAGCTCCGAATGCTGTTACCCCAAGTACTGCCGGGCAGCCCACAAAGAAGTCGGCTAGCAGCGTGCGTGCTGCAAAATATTAACACGCTTCCCAAGGCTTTCCCTTTTTCTCCTTGTCTGACCTCGGCCTGTGTTTCTACTCTTGGCCTCCGTGTCCCCAACACAGCATCGCCTTCCCGGCCCGTGCGTCCCCTCAGCATCCAGAGCGAGCACATCTCCTGGTCTCCAACTTCGCTGACACCCTCCTTGTCCCCACACGTCCTCTAGAAAACCCACCCGCTAAGTCACCTCGTGAAAGGTCAAACGCCTTTCATGACAAGCATCTGGATCCTTAAGGCACTGACGTTTGTCATTCCTGCAGCCCACAGCATCCCCGTCTTCCACGGCAGCCCACACTAAACCAGAAGAGCGGCAGGCGAAGCCCTGCTCGTACAGCTTCTTGCCCCGTGTGCCACTGAGCAGGAGGCCTGGCAGCAGCTGCGACGCCAACACAGAGGGACAAATGCATCTACCAGAAGATGCAGACACTTTCAAATCTGATCTGAGTGCATTCTTGATAATTAAAGAAGAAACATAGAGCCGATTCTAAATGGGAAATACTTGATTTCACTAACCAAAATACCCATGGATGGTCTGCTCAGAACCCAGTATCAGGACAATATGCTGAGATTAACTGCGGTTTAAAAGGCCCCGTGTTGGGGGTGCCTGGGTGGTTCTGAACCTTGATTTCGGCTCAGGCCAAGATCTCACAGTTTGTGAGACTGAACCCCGAGTTGGGCTCTGTGCTGACAGCGTGGAGCCTTTTCGGGATTCTCTCTCCCTCTCTCTCTCTCTGCCCTTCCCCCACTCGTGCGCTCTGTCTCAAAACAAATAAATACAATCTTAGAAGAAAATAAAAGATTTTTAAGACTCCACAGAAGCATATGGACTTAACTGGTCTCAGAAGCTAATCACCGCCACCTCACTATTATTTGGGCATTCTCTCGATTTCTTTCTAACCAGGAACATCAAGAAAAAATCCAACGTTCTCCTCTGAGAAGATTCAGACAGAATTTCAGTGAAGCAGGGCTGTTGCGGTTTATGGTCACAAAGCGAAGCCCTGGGAATACTACAAAAACGTGAGGCAGTTCCTGCCCTAAGGACTGTACGATCACTTGGGGGAATTAGGCAGTTATATGAAAAGTTTAATAATAACATGGAAGAGTCACAAGGCAGAGACCAGGCAGCTGCCGAGTGAAGGGTCAGGTGACACATGCCCAGGGTAATGTGAGCTAGAGTGGCTTCTCAGGGAGGGGACATTCGAGGACAGCTCTGGCTGCATCAGAAAACAGAACTGTAACCCCTTGAAGGTCAGCAGGACAAGTAAAAAAGCCTGACTTCACACGGTTTACCTGGTTAAATAAAGAAAACCCCACACGCTCTTACCGTGAAGCAGCACCACCCGGTTCCAGGCGATGAGATTGCTGTCGACGTTCTTGTCTGAAAACAGCAAGGTTGTCATCACGTAATCGAGGAGCTGAGCGAAGAAAGGTAAAATGCACATGGAGGTGTGGACAAGGCAAAGGTTCCCACCAGATGTGCTGCCAGAGCTCGTGCCCGAGGAGAGGGGCCGGGCGCCAGACCACCCCTTGGCGACTGCTGGCGCCGAGTGCCGGATGCTTCACAGGCTTTCGTTTTGGAAGAAACTCCAAACGTACAAGACCAGGTTGGCTGCTGCTACTCTAAGTATGCAGACAAACACAGGGGTCCCGCCAAAGGACAAGACTTAGCAAGTGATGAGTGGGTTCCTACCTCTGGGACAACACAGCAGCGGGCAAGCCACAGCACATTCACTTAGGACAACAGCCAGGACTCTGGTCGCGCAGCCCGGGTGATGTGGGGGATGGACTTCTAGTGTCCCCCATGGCATGCAGGACCCTTCCCCTTGAAGGGGGCTCAGACGAGCTGGCGCTTGCTCAGACCTGCCGACCTGCTCTGTCTGCCCCTTGGCCCTGCCTCCTCAGTCCCAGTGCGTTAAGAGCGCAATCCGGTGAAAGCTGTCTTTACATTCTGCACCCTCCTCTTCCTCCCCCATGGGACAGACACCCGGGACACGGGCTGCCAGGAGCCATAAATTCCCAAAAGCCTAATTGAGTCATGGGGCTCCAAGATGCTGGAGGGCAACACAATATTGATCCCAACTCAAACAGCCGGGACTTCCTGCAAAATTAGCACAGCAACTTACATGAGATTTGACTTCCACATCATATACCAGGCTGTCCCAAAGCCCATGGAATTCAGCTGGGAGAGAGGAAAACAAAAACCTAATTTTAGGAAAACAAGCACCACAATGACCAGTGAGGTCTGCCCCGAGTCACTGACGCTCTCCATCGCGCCACACACCACAGGCTGAGAGTCTCATTACCGGGAAGTTAAATTTTTGAATTGGTTCTTAAAAGTTTAATTTTTCTTTACAGATGCAAAATCACTGCCAGTCACTCAGCTTTCAACAGACAACCGAATGGAGTACGGAGTTACTTTTTCATCACGTGACCACGCGCAATTATCTCTTGTGGACCTGAGCTCTCCCACAAGCACATAGACTGCCCCACCGTCCTCCCCAGCAGCCAGCACTTGGGTGGGGCAGAGGCAGGTCTGGGCCGGCTGTCACGACACCACACGTAAACGCTGAGGACTCCACCGGCTAGAACCAAGGCAAAGTCCACAGGGAAGCACGGAGAAGGCAGGAGGAAGGAAGGGGCCGGCAGGTGACCAACCGGGAAGGAAAGAGCACCTCCGGATTCTCAGCACCACCTCTGAGGGACCCGCCTGCAGGAACACAGCCTCACAATGGAGACCCCTGCTTTTATCTTCTGTGATGCGCTCTCTGTTCCACAAGAAAAAAAACACCCCGAAAGCCTACAAAACAGATGGATGAATACAACCTCCTCAGCTAACTGCCTTGGAGAGAGCAGGCTACATGCCGACCCCTGACTTCGTGTCCCAGGTGCGTACTGCCCGGCGCCAGTGCTCACGCACCTGCGGGCAGGACCCAGTGACTCGCCGCAGTTATGTTCTCGGTCTCCTCCTCCAGAGTCTCACTGCTGGGGCCGCCCTCATTCAGCTGGAAGACGTGAAGTGAAATCGTGCAGGCACCCAAGTCGATGGGCTGTGATGAGAGGGAGAGCAATCAACCCACACAGACTGAACTCCCTTCCCAATTCTAGCCATGACAATTACCCGGTAACGTCCAAAAATAAAAATTGAATATGCAGAACGTTAGAAACTCGTTCGTAGATTAGGAAAAAAGCCTATCATATTCAGATTCGGTATCAACTCTTTAAGATGTTTCTCTCTCCCCTTTTGACTAAAAAACTACTTTATTGTTCTTCGTAATCATGAAAATTACGTGGTTAGTGAAAACATACAAACGATACAGAATGAAGTTTGTCAAAGTTGCCCATCCAACCTCACAGCCACACGTACTTGACCAAAAACGGATTCGACCACACAGTTTTCTAACTGTGCCTTTCCCGCTTCTTTTTCACAGCTATGTCGTATTTACTGTGATCGTATCATCTGCTTAGTCAACCTCTAACTGACGGATAACCAAGATATTTCGAGTTGTCAGCTACTATTAACAACATATATAGAAAGTCGCCCTTGCACTTCTACAAAATCACATAATTATGTCTGAAGATGAATTTCTCTAGGTGAACAGGCAGAGCCAAAGATGAGAACGTTAAAACGTCTAATCGCTGGCCCCAGCACCCTCCACTGAGGCTGCGTTAACCTGTCCTCTCTCAGTAGCGTGGAGAGCGCCTCTGCGTCCTCCAAGCTGTCCAAAATCAAGTATGATGGGTAAAAGTCACAAAGCCACGGGGCACCTGGGTGGCTCAGTCGGTTGAGCGTCCGACTTCAGCTCAGATCATGATCTCACCATTCGGGGGTTCGAGCCCCGCGTCGGGCTGTGTGCTGACTACTCAGAGCCTAGAGCCTGCTTCGGATTCTGGGTCTCCCCCTCTCTCGGCCCCTCCCCTGCTCACGCTCTGTCTCTCAAAAATAAACATTAAAAAATTTTTTTAAAAAACCCCAAAACTGACAAAGACACAAACGTTAGTCCCAGTATAAGAAAGGAGAGGTCCACCTTCTAAGCAAAATTTTGGGGCCGAACCAATGCTTCCCAAGTGATTCTTTGTAAGACACGAACCATGCGGATAGAGGGGATGTATCAGACACTGGGCTGTTTGTATAGTGACAAAAAGGTCCCAACACACCCACCCTCTCCCACAAAGATGGTGGGCGAGGCCATCCGCACGCCAGACTAGACGAAGCCCTTCTCCACGGAAGGCCCATCTCATCCCTCAGCCCCCATGCCTCCTACAGTCTATGCCGGTGGAGCGGTCCATGGACATCTGCTGCCTGGAAGGACAGAGAGCAGGGACGGAGGCCTCATCAGCACAGCCCATTCCACGGTGCTGCGTTCTGCTTTCCCAATGGTCCCCCTACTGTGCTGTGAGCATCCTGACCCCCGGGCCAGCCCACTCCCAGCACCTGGCTCTTCCCAGACAAAGCAACAGATAAACGAACCACTTTCTGACAACACACCACCAAAGCAGCGAGCAGACATCCGTGATACTGACGTTGCTTTTTTTTTTTTTTTTTAAGGTAAACTCAACACCCGATGTGGGGCTTAAACCTATGAACCCAGAATCAAGATCGCATGATCTGCTAAATGAGCCAGCCTGGTGCCCCCATGACACTGACTTTGTATTCAACTATGGATTAGCGATTTCTTGGCAATATGAATTAGTCACCTGTGGGTCTTTAACCTTCAACTCTGTGTCAACAATAGACACAGACTGCACGTTTCTGCTCAGAAAAGGATCATCAAACTCGGTCCACGTGTAGTCACCAAACACAATGTTATGTCTGTTGAGCAGCTTTCTAACGCTCAGCTTTATATCTTCTTTTTTGGCAGTGCTGGGAACACAAGACACAGAGGTCAGGATGGTAACAAGTGCCTTCTAATCAGGCCTTTCAGAGCACAGCGGTGGGCTCGCCTGGGGGTCAGCCCCAAGCCAAGCCCTGCTCTCCATACGCCAAGAGGCCACAGCAACAGCTCCTGCCACCCGCGGCTGCCCCAACGGAGGAGGTCAACCCAGTTTACAGGCCTGGAGTGCGCCACGAGCTCTCGCTAGTGCTGCTACTGTTAGGAACGAAGGCGCAAAGCTCCCACAGCCGTGGGGTTGCAGCTCGAGTCCGCATTTTAACAAAAGCCCGAGGCCTCTGATTCACGTGGGAAAACTCTGACACTTTCCGACTGGCCTTCAAGGCTTCCAGGACGCTGACCGGTTCTGGACCATACCTGCCTCCGCCCCCACCCCTCCCTGCCCCCAGCCGGCCTCAATCCCCCTCGGCCCGGCAGGCAGGCCCCCACAGGAGGGGTCCCACCCTCCCCCTGCCCCCGCAAGCTCACGCCAGACCTCTGGCTGCGGACCGGGGTTTCGCCCGAAGTCCTGAGAGATCAGGTGGTGGGCGGCTGGGGTGACCGAACAGCCCGACAAACGCCAGGTCCGAGGAGAACGTGCACACGCGCCCCTTCCTCCCCGGGCCGGTCCGGCTCCGCTTGGGTGCGGCGCCCGAGCTCACCACTGCCGCTCCGCTGGTGCACCTCCACGTGGACGGTCGGCGCCTCGGCCACGCAGGGCAGCGCCTGCTTCAGGTCGCCCACGGCCTCGTCCCGTAGCGCCCGCCTGGAGCAGCAGGGACCAACCGGAGCAATATTACCGCCGCCTCCGCGCCCCGAGCCTGCAACCACCACCGGGCCGCCACCACCCAGGCCGCCACCGAGCCCATCAGCCGCCCGCCCTCCCGCCCGCTGTGAAAGTGCCGCGCGCGCTACCGCCCTCTGACCCGGAAGCGCTGGGCGCCGGCGGGAACGAGACAGCCCGACTTCCGAAGCCTACTTCGGCGAGGTCGGCGACCTTTCCGCAGGGGCCAGGCGGGTGGCGATCCGGAAGCCACCCGGCGATCACGCACCGGCGCCGCGCTTGCTTGCAGCCTCAGCCCCGCCGCGCTCCGGCCCCGCGCCACCATGGGCAAGCACGAAGCACAAGACCAGTGGCGCTCGTCTACTACGGTGAGGCGGCGGGCGCGCTTTGTGACCTCGGGCCGGCCACGGCGGGCGGGCGGGGGCAGGGGTCAAACGGGGCCCCGGGCCACGAATCCCCGGGCTCGCGGGCTCGAGAGAATCGCAGCTCGCCTGCAGGTGGAGGAGGTCTCGGCGGGAAGATTTCGGGGTGGCAGGAAGGTGTCCTGGGCGAGACCTGGGATCGCGGGCAGAGGTTCCGGGCCAGGGAGCGCCAGGGCTGTCGGGCGTCTGGTCGCTCCTGCATCTGTGTTGGCTTGTCGGTCTTGGAGAAAGTTCGTCCCTGTTTGTCACCCGCGTCCCGCCTGCGCGTTCCTGCAGCCTCGATTACTGTGTCTGCTGCGGGCCAGCCGAACCCGGAAGGAGGAATGTGAGCACCCAGGCAGGAGGCATAGCAAGGGAAGGGGCGAGGAGGGACCAAGGCAGGCTCCTGACCACACACTCCTTGTTCCTCGCCAGACAGAACAGCTCGAACTATGTCCTGAGGGGTGATGCAGCGCCAGGGGGCAGGACTGGCAACCCTGGGTTTGCTTTATCTTTCAAATGGTGTTGCCTTCTGGGGCCCTGGAGCGCTCCTCTCTGTTCCCCCTGCGTCAGGCCCCTGGTGCCACTACTACACACCCAAAACTTTTGAAGCTTTGCGGTCTTTCTGCTTACAGATTATGCAGACAAGCCCTTGGAGAAGCCCCTGAAGCTGGTTCTCAAGGTTGGAGGAAGTGAAGTGACTGAGCTGTCGGGGTCTGGAAGCGACTCAAGTTAATGACAAGAGTCAGACCACGAGCAAGGAAGCAGCACAAAGGAAAAAAGAAAAGAAGAAAGAAGAAATCGAGAGAAAGCACATGACATTGAAAAGAAGGAAAAAAAGATGAAACGAGCAGGGCGGCAGCTGGTGGAGAGCCCCCAGCCTGAACGAATCTAAAAATGGGGTCTAAAGGAAAAGAGGAGCTGTCCTGTTTGTAATAAAGCACAGAGCAGAATTAGTCGTTAGGGGGGGGGGGGATCTGAAGGAGAAGTGTCTCTGGAGGGAGGTTTGCTCGCTCGGCTTTGTGTTGCAGGAGGTTATTTAAGAGTGCTTGCCTTGCTGTCGCGCCCTGACTCTGCCTCACAGGAAGAGAAGAAGCGGAAACGGGAAAAGGAGCATGGCGACTCGGAGGGAGAGGCCGACGACTTTGATCCCGGCAAGAAGGTGGAGGTGGAGCCGCCCCCCGACAGGCCCGTGCGAGCGTGCCGGACACAGCCAGGCGAGTGGAAGGAACGTGTTTGGAGGCTCTCCTGGAGCGCGACAGCCCGTCTCTGTGACCCGGTGGTTGGCGTCGTGCTTTTCTGCCTCTTGGGGACGTGTGCGGGAAGGAGGGAACAGCGCTTTCTCTTCCAGGGCTCGACATGAAGCGTAGCTGGACCTGAGGTCTTAGTGTCAACTTGAACCCGTAGAGCAGGGTTCAGCCAACTGCCGCTCCTGTGCCCCCTCCCTTTGTTCTTTTTAAACTCACGAGCTCGTCACGGGGAGAAGGGAACTAGTGCTCAAATCAGTTGTTACTGAGGCTGTCAGGCACCACGAGGCCAGCCTCACCGGAGGAGAGAACACTCGGGGCTCTCTAATCTGTGAGTGGTCACTTTCCTCAGGGGCTTTCAAATGGTCAGGAGGTACTGAAGTGGAGGCGGTTTTCCTTCGAGCGTTTCTCTTCTTGACGTTGGGCTTCACTGCCTGTGATTCGGGAGGGAAGGAAGCGGGGTCGTGTGGCAGTCGTTGCCGAGGGTGTGGTTTTCTGGCAACAGCCGTCCCTGTGCAAGTCATTGCCACGGTGAACAGGTAGGACCCGGGGCCACGGGACACAGTGGGCAGGAGAGAAGGTCAGGCGTGAGACGGTTCGCTAGGTGAACGTGCTCACGAGGTGCGTACGGTCGCCGGTCCCTGCCGGCTTGGTCTGATCAGCTGATTAAGGTCACGCGTGCAGTGCTTCCCTTCCGTGTACCCGAAGGGGTGATGTTCACACTCGCTCTGGTCACTGTCACTATCGGGACCCACTCGTGGTCTGCAGGCCTGTGTGCTTCAGCCCTGGAACCAGCTATTTCTCCGAGGAGCCCTGGTTCCTTAGTGCATTCAGATGCTGAGGTCTGGGGGCTGGGCGTGGCCGGCAGTGGTAAGAGCACTTGTGTTCTTATGGCTGAGGGAACAGAACCTAGGCTGCCACGTGTGCTTACTACGTTCACCAGAAACCACGGTTCCACACCGTGGGCCAAGAGATGTAGTTAGTGGCCGTCCTCACAAGGACCCCCGTGCGGTTGCATTCGTACCCGTTTTACAGAGGAGGAGCAGCAGAGGTGCGGCCAGAGGTTCTGGACTGCCAAGTAAAGTGATAGTCGGTGAAGCTCGGCCTCTGTGTCCTGGCCGTCTTCGTACCGTGTCTGGAATGTACAGGGCCCGGCCGTGACAGGGGACTCATACAGACTGACAAGTGACAGCTCCCTGTTGTCGTCTGAAGGATCTTGGCACTTTCTAAGGGGCTTGGGGGACTGATGCTGTGGTGGATGCCCCTCCCACCCAGCTGAGTTTTTTGGGGCCAAGACCGGGTCTGGGTCATCCTCGTACCCAGTTCTTGTTGGAGCCTGAAACACTGAAACGTGCCGTGGAGTGGGAGCTCTCTGGTGACACAGTATCAAGGTGTTTTGACTCATCGTTATCCTGTACTCTTTAAATTGTCAGCCGAGAACGAGAGCACACCGATTCAGCAGTTACTAGAGCATTTTCTCCGCCAGCTCCAGAGGTAAACAGTTTCTCAAGAACTTGAGGTCGGGAACCTTCAGGGTGTCTTTCCTTGTGACGGGTTCTTCCCGCACCTCCCACACCCGTGAAGCAGACCCTTCGCCCTCCCTGGGTGACGCCCAGTCTAGTGGGGGGTGGGCCGGCGTGGGGAGAGCGCCGTGTGCCCGGTCCGTGCAGGGCAGGGGTGTTGGTGGGGGGCGGTCAGGACCTCCACGATGCAGATGTCATGGCTCCAGCCAGGAGGGTAATTTTGGAATTTTTAATCATCAGAAACATCTATGCTTCTACAGAGTGTAAATTTTATTTCTTATTTTAAGGAACAAAACTTGGTGAATTGTATCATGTTTTAACCGTGAAACGTTTTGTATCGTTTGGAAATCTACATTTAGGGTTTTCCTGTTTAAGTAATGATGTTCTTGTTTTCAGAAAAGATCCTCATGGATTTTTTGCTTTTCCTGTCACGGATGCAATTGCTCCCGGATACTCCATGATAATAAAACATCCCATGGACTTTGGTACAATGAGAGACAAGATTGTAGCCAACGAATACAAATCAGTCACAGAATTTAAGGTAAACTAATTTCGGTTTCTGAAATAATTGTTGCGAAGCTCTTTGTGTGTTTATGTCCAGTGAGCACTCTGTCCGTATCAGCTGGTTTCTAGTTGGGAGTGTTCATGGGGGCCTGAGCCTTCGGGCCAAGGTCTTCCAAAGGTTGCATCAGGGAAATCGGTATCTTGTCTGGAAGCTGTAGAGACACGTGAGGTCAAGCAAAAGTGTGTCTGATTTGGTCTGACTCCAGGATGGGCATTTTTAGAATTACAGTTTTTCCTAGTTTTTGTCTCATAGTAACTGTGAGTTTAATTTTTTTTTTAAACGATAAATTTCTATGACTCTCTAGTGTGTAGTTCTGAACTCTGTTTCTTGGTACAACTGCGAGGCAGGAATTGCTTGTTGGCTTTGATCCCAGGGGCAGATCAAGATGAGTGCTTGACGCTTTGGTAATGATGTCATGTAGGAAAAGGCATCGGGTTTCTTTCTTAGTTTCTATTCAATTTGGAAGGCTTAGCTCTATCACTGTCATTTTCTGGTGACATGACTGAGTGTGTTTGCTGAGCCTCAGAGGCTGTGCCACATGAAAGGGTACTGGGGCGGGCGGCCCTCAATCCTCCACCTTCCTTGTCGGGCGCCGGTTTGCTCTGCTGCCCAGTGACAGTCCTGGATGTGAGCAGTGTCCCCCCTCTGCCTTGTCCTCAAGACTGCTACATCAGGGCCCACAGAGGAGGGGGACTTGAGGGCCACAGGCCCAGCCCTGGGGACCTTGGCCGTGGGGCCAGTGCTGGGGCTCGGTCGGGGTCTGGCTGGCTTCAGCTGTCCTTATGCGTCCTCATGGCCAGCACAGCGGTGACAGGTGTGTGTGCGGTCTGTAATTTGGTTGGGGTGATGATATATTGAAACGTCCAATAGCTTGCTTTTAACGTAAGCTGTTCAGCAAGATTTTCCTATCTTACGGAAAGCCTTTTTGCTGATGCTATTAGAGTAATTGGCGATAGACCAAGTTTTGAATTCTGTGGCAAAATCCCAGAGAGGCGACGTGAACGTGCTCAGCTCTCGGCTCGTTCCTCAGCTTTTCCTTAAAAGGACCTGGCTGTCACTTGTCGTTCCTACTTACATCTGATTTCTCTCAAAGCGGGGGAGCTGGAGATGGAAAGAGGGAGCCGCGATGTTCTTAGAACGCACACGTGTTGGGGCAGCTGGGAGGCTCCGTCGGTTAAGCGTCCAATTCTTGGTTTCGGCTTAGGTCATGATCTCGTGGTTCACGAGTTCAGGCCCCACGTCAGGCTCTGTGATGACAGCGTGGAGCCTGCTTGGGATTCTATCTCTCCCCTGCTCACACACACATTCTCTTTCTCAGAATAAAAAAACAGAAACAGAAGCCACGCATGTGTCGCGCTCAGGAGGAAGCTCCAGGTTTGGCAGGCTTCTCACTGTAAGGTCTGAAACTTCTCTCAAAGAGTCGTTAAAAACCATTTGTGAAGCTGAAGAGCCTGGTTTAGTTGCTTGCCACTCAGTTTTAGCCTCTTGACAGGAATCCGGTTTTCGCTGGCATCTTAGTGGTTCAAATTCGACAGATTCTATTTTTTTCCCTTTCAGGCAGATTTCAAACTGATGTGTGATAACGCGATGACCTACAACAGACCAGACACTGTGTACTACAAGTTAGCTAAGAAGATCCTTCACGCAGGCTTTAAGATGAGCAAAGTAAGAAGCCCGCGGCGGCAAGGAGCCACAGAGACGAGAGTTCCCCTCTGTCTCGATGCCTACACAGAGCCCCACCCCCACTGACTGACATGCTTCCACCCGTCCATCACTGGCCGTGGTGCAGAGCCTCTGTACACATCCCAGGCCACCCTCCCCGCCAGGCGCGCGCTCTCTCTCTCTCTCTCTGCTCCTGCGCCAGCTGGAACGTCTCCTTTAGGGTTGGTGGAAAGTGCTGGATCTGTTGATCTAAGTGTGGGTGTCTGATGGATTGCAGCCAGCCTGTGATTTGTTTTACGTGGCTGCCTCACTGAGTCCGGACAGGACGTCTTGGCCATCCAGAGTGGCTTCCCAGATCTGTCCCACGAGCCAGGTTGCATGTGTCACGCATCTAGGACCAGTGCCTTGTACCTGATCGGCCTGTAGGTGAGGTGAGGGCCACTGTGCCCTCTGGCCCGTCCCCCTCTGCCAGCCCCGAGTGCTCCCAGCCAGTCGGCCGCGCCTGTGGTGCTGACTCCCACCTGCACCTGCCGCGGTAGCGCCACGGGAGCCCGCTGTTAGGCCAGGCGAGGCTGCGGCCATCCCCATCCCACCCATCGCCATGGCGCCTCGGCTGTGAGGCAGAGGTAAAGGCCTGCTGCTCTGTCCTTTTTGATTCTAGGAGCGGCTGTTAGCTCTGAAGCACAGCATGTCGTTTATGCAGGACATGGATTTTTCTCAGCAGGCAGATCTTCTGGGCAACGAAGACACAGCTTTTGAGGAGCTCGTTCCTGAAGCAGCACCTGTACAAGTAGAAACTGCCAAGAAATCCAAAAGGCAGTAGAGAAGTTATCAGGTAACGGGAAATGCACCTCAGGATTGTGAGTGAGGGTGAGCCTGTGCTGGCGCCCGTGTCCGCGGAGTAGCTCGCGGACCCCCACCTGCTGGAAGGAGCCCGGTCCCCAGCGGCCGCGTGTGAGCTCTGGTCTCAGGTGTTTCCAGGCAGCTGGCCGGCAACCTGGGCCAGCCGGGCCTCGTCACGCTAATGGACCTGGGGGCACAAGGGCAGGACAGCCCCTGCCAGCCACACGCAGGCTCTGTTCCAGGTGTGACACTGCTGTTCCCATATGCGTGTTGCAGTGATTGTTGGCCCTTCACTCTGAAGAAGTTCCCTCATGTGCAGGAGGACACTTGATGGTGGCCTAGCTTGGCTGTCCCTGTGCGGGGGATGTAGCTGTGCTGTGTTAGGCAGGTGACACGCTTTGTGGGGGGGCTTCATTCTCCTCGTACCTGACTCCCCCAACTCCTGCAGCCGTCCACCCTGGGCCAGAGGCAGGGCCTTCTTGCAGGCTTGGGGTCCGCAGGCAGAGTTTGCTCCCGCAGCTCCTTGGATGGAGTCGGTCCATATGCTTCTGGAACCTTCCACAGGAGAGGCCACATCCCTTGGGCACTGCACCCAGTGACCCTTGGCTGTTCGAATAAAGCTCTGTGTGGGGTCTGAGCCCGCCTGCCGAAGGCTCGGGACGCCCCTTTTGCCTCACGACCTGTGCTCCCAGCTCACCCTTGTTTCTGGTGTCTCCACGCTCCATGGAGCTTTGCCTCTTTTTCCAACGGTGCCTCGAATGACATTGTGAGTAGTGAGGTTGCCGTCAGGTTGCTCTTAGATCGACTCAGGTGTGCAGCTGAGACACGAGACACCTCCAGCGGCCGTTTGGGTCTCCCTTGCTGTTCGTGGAGGCCCCGCATATTGCTGCAGTTACAGCCACGAGGACAGGGTCGAGGAGTGCTCCGTGCCCTTGCTCCCGGCCCGTGGTGACCTTGGGGAGCGGTAGGGACTGACCGTGGTGAGGTGGGAGCAGCACGTGCCCCGGTGACGTGTGTGGTGTTCTTGCCTCGCAGCTGCACGTTTGAGCCGGAAGGAAATGCCTGCAGCCTGACTGACAGCACGGCAGAGGAGCACGTGCTGGCCTTGGTGGAGCACGCAGCTGACGAGGCTCGGGACAGGATCAGCCGGCTCTCCCAGGGGGCAAGGTAGCGTCAGGGGTGTCTGGGCAGAGCTCGTGTCCTGCAGGCTCGCTTTGGGTCCCGTCACCGGCTCCATCTCGGGGGTGGGCGGGGGCCTCCAGGGGTGCCTCGCGGGCAGGAGCCTCCCAGAAGCGGTGTGTGATGCGGGGACGCTGCAGCAACCTAGCCCCGTAGTGGGGATGTTGCCCACCGGCGGATGGACGTCAGGCCTGCCACGCATCTGCGCTGCAGCCTCCCTCTTCTCCTGGTGTGCTTGCGTCTCTGTGTGCCTCTGCGGCGCCCGTGGGTCCCATCTGACCCGGGCCTGGCCTGTGGGGGCCTCCCTGCTGTGCTTGGAGCACCCCCCTGCCGGGAGAGCAGACCGGCACCTCCGGTAGAAACGGTGTGGCTCTTGCATGCACTTCTAAAATTTTTTTTTTTTTTAATGTTTATTTTATTTTTGAGACAGAGAGAGACAGAGCATGAATGGGGGAGGGGCAGAGAGAGAGGGAGACACAGAATCGGAAGCAGGCTCCAGGCTCTGAGCCATCAGCCCAGAGCCCGACGTGGGGCTCGAACTCACGGACCGTGAGATCGTGACCTGAGCTGAAGTCGGAGGCTTAACCGACTGAGCCACCCAGGCGCCCCTGGTGTGCACTTTTAAACCCGCTAGTCACGGTAACGAGGACAGAGGCGATGTTAATCCCGACACGTTTACTTGACCTGGTGCATCCACAGTCTCGTCTGTGCATGTGGTCTGTGTGAAGAACTCTTAGAACTTCACATCCCTGTCTCAGACACGTGTTTTCAAAACGCGCGTGGAGTGTTTTGTCAAAGATTTTGAACAATGACGTTTTGCCTACGCCGGGTTACGTGAAGCATACGGAGATGAATCTTTTACTTACCTTAAGCTTCCCTGGTGGAAAGTTTGCGGTTCCCTGTGTAGCTGATGTTGATCTGCTGGACCCGCTGGTCTGCACGCCTGTAGTGCTTCAGCCCTGGAATGTCCCCGGCACTGGGCACGGCCCTCAGTGGCACTGGGAAAGAGCCCTGCAGACTGTAGCTCGGTGAGGGAGGGCCGTGCTGAGCTGCGTGTATTCATCAGAGGCACGTGTCCACACCCAAACCCCCATTGCTCCCAGTGCTGGGCCTGTTTCCCTTTTCTCCCTTTTTGGGTTGTAATTCCACAGCAAGAAACCTGACTCCTGTTCCCCTTAGTGCATTCACGTGGTCAGTGCTCACGTGATCAGCACTTACATGGTCAGCGCTCACATGGCTGGTGCTCACGTGGTCAGCGCTCACATGGTCAGTACATCCATAGTCAGCGCTCGCGTGGTCAGTGCTCACATGGTGAGTACTTACATGGTTAGTACTCCCACGCTCACCGCTCACGTGGTCAGCACTCACGTGGTCAGTATATGTGGTCGTCGCTTGTCAGTACTGACACGGTTAGCGCTCACGTGGTCAGTATTTACGTGGCCAGCACTCACGTGGTCAGCACTTACGTGGCCAGTATTTACGTGGTCAGTGCTCACGTGATCAGTACTGACACAGCGCTCACATGGTCAGTGCTCACATGGTGAGTACTTGTATGGTTAGTACTCACACACCCAGCGCTCACATGGTCAGTACTTATGTGGCCAGTGCTCACATGGTCAGCAGTGACGGGTGTCCTGTCCTCCCCGCCCTGTATTCAGGCACTCAGGCCAAGGGTCCCCCTCTTCTCTTCCCCCACTCCCATGTGCAGGTGCCCCTCCTGGACCTTCCTGGGGGCCTTCAGAGGAAGAGGGCTTTTGTTCAGTGGATTTCTGTAAGCGGAACTAAGTCCCTTGTGTTAGAGATGGAGCCTCTAGTGCCCGTTGATACGGCATTTGGTGACCAGGGTCCTGTTCTGGGTCATTTGGCTCAGGTTCTGACATCCTGTAAGAGGGCAGTTTCTGGGGTAAGCTTCCTGTTTCCGTATCTCCTTTAGAAGGATCAGGAACTAGTCTTAATCCTTTCAGCACACATGGGTGTGAAGTCAAGTTTGGGGAGGTATGAGAGAGGTCTCTGTGGTCTTTTCCATGGGGAAACGAACTGCCCCATGACCTGTTGGGATTTGTGCACGTTAGGCCGTGCTCGTACGCCTTAGCTCTGTTGGCGTTGCGGCAGAGCACGTAAGGCCGGCCCTCAGGTGTGCTTCCTTGCAGATGGGCTATCTGAAGAAGGACAGTGACGGCAGCTTGCTCTACAGCGTGGTCAACACGGCCGAGCCGGATGCCGACGGTGCGTGGCCCCGAGCAGGGCTGGGGTTAGTCTCCACAGCGCCAGGGAGTTTCGGCTTTGTAGCCCGTTTGAGATCACGGTTGCCTGTGCAGAGCAGGCCCCAGTCGCACGGCATAGACGAATCCCATCCGGTGTTACTCCCCTGTCCTCCCCCTCCTGTGTATGATACGCAGCCTGCGTATGATACGTGGACAGGGGGCAGTCATCCAGTGGGGGCAGGGGTGCTGCTCAGACCTTTTTTGCCCCAGGGTCTAGCATAGGCAGCCAGTATAGAGCTGTGCTCCCACAGGGCTGCGGTTCTACAAGTCTTCATGGCCTGACTTCCAGATACCATCATGAGGATCGACTCACACCCTTGTCAGGGCTCCCCGGGAGGAGCCAGAGTGCACAACTCCGTCGCACTCGCGGAGCTTGGAAGGGGCCCAGACGTGGGCTTAGAGGGGATGCCCTGTGTGATCATCGTGTTGAGGACCTTGAGGGGGGCACAGATGCTGGATCTGCTCACCTGTGGGGAAGCCCTTATGTACTCCGTCTCTTTGAAAAGTATCTTGAGTTGATCAACTCGTAGCTTAGACAGAGTTAAGGTTTGAGAATTGTAGCGGCTACTTTTTTTTTTTTTAAGTGCGTATTTATTTTGAGAGAGAGAGAGAGAGAGAGAAAGAATCCCAAGCAGGCCCCAGGCAGTGCAGAGCCTGAGGCGGGGCTCGAACTCACAAACCGTGAGATCGACCTGAGCTGAAATCAAGAGTCGGATGTTTAACCGACTGAGCCACCCAGGCGCCTAAGAATTTTAGTGGTTTCTCTAAATTTGATTTTAGCTGGTCTTTCTAGAGAGCCCCCCGTGCCTTCCCCAAGTGCACTCTGTGAGCCACTGCGGGAGCTGGGAACTCCCCGAGCCACCTGTTCACAGCCCGGTCCCTTTGCAGAGGAGGAGACACACCCTGTGGACCTGAGCTCGCTCTCCAGCAAGCTGCTCCCCGGCTTTACCACACTGGGCTTCAAGGATGAGAGAAGGGGCAAAGGTGAGTGTGGGGTGGGCAGGTAGGGGCACGGGATGAGGGAAATCGCAGGAGAGGTGTGGACCCAGAGTCCTCCCGCCATCTTCCTGGCTCACCTGTTCTTAGTACTGTGTCCCGATTCTGGCTCTGAAACTAACAATGAGATTAAATTAAGGTCCTGTCGAGTGAGGGGAATAAACATTTCACCGGGCACGCTCCTCTTTGCCGTCCACTCGTACCGGTCTGTGGGTCTCAGCCCCGTGCCGACCGTGGGTAGGGGTGTATGCCCGGGTGTCTGCCGAATGATGGTGGGCAAGTGTGGGAGGTGGAAGGTTGGATGGGTGTGGCGGTGGAGGGAGGGAGGGGACTGGTGTGCTGGCCGCACTTGTGTGTGTGGCCGAGTGACCGAGTGACGTCTGTGGCTGGTTTGCTAGATTTGGAGCGTATCGGTGTGCAGCAGTTTTGTTCCCCGGGGGACAGCTGGTGGCGTCTGGGGACGTTGTGATGGTCACATCGTGGTGCTACTGGAGTCTAGTGGGGGGGAGGGGCACGTCTGAGACGCATTGCTCTTGAGCTCTGACGTCATTCACGTGGGGACGCCAGCCGTGATGCCCCCACAGCCCCTTGAGGGATCCAGCCTCGTCCTGTGGGCTCGGTTCCCAGCAGGGCCTGGGTCGGCACGAAGCCCTTCTACCAGCGCGCGCTCGCCTTGCATCGCGTAAACTGTCCTCTGCACCTGCTGCAGAGCCTGAAGTGCCGGTTTGGCCCGGAAGCTGCCACCGCTTCGGGTCACTGGGGAGCAGCGATGTCACAGGGAGGGGGCTGGGAGCGGGGGCGGGGGCGCCGCCCGCGGGACCGAGCGCGTCTCGTGCGGGCGTCACCGCACGTGTGTCTCACGTCTTGTGCTCTCCCTCTCCTACCCTCAGTCACTTTTCTCTCCAGCACCACCACCGCGCTTTCAATGCACAGCAATTCCGTGTTCGGCGACTTAAAGTCGGAGGAGATAGACCTGCTGTATTCCGCCTACGGGGATGAGACGGGTGTGCAGTGTGCGCTGAGGTGAGCAGAGTCGGCACGGTCTGGAAGGTTCTCGCTTGCCGTGCGGGAGGAGCCGTTTCCCTGGTGGGTGGTTGGCGGGAGACGGCCGACTGCAGCGGGTCTGCACGGCAGAGGTTTTCGAGTTCTTTTCCGTGAACCACTGGTTTGCCACGGGTTGGTCTTGAAGTTTGGGTAACTCAGCTGCGCCTTACAAAGGTGACGATCCGGGCTGTAGTTTAAAAAAGAATGTGTGTGTGCATGTAACCAACCACGTGTTTGGAGCTTGTTTCGTGATTTTGTTGGAACGTGGCTCGGTGGCTGTGTTTGTCTGCTGGGGCCACCAGAACCGTGCACCCCAGCCTGAGGGGCTGAAGTGACAGGCATTCGTCGTCTGGCGGGGCCGGAGGCTGGGAGTCCGAGACCCGGGCGTGGGCAGGGCTGCTTTCTCCTGGGGCCTCTGTGCTTCACGCGTAGACGGCCCTGGTCTCCCTGTGTCCTCACCTGCACGCGCGTCTCTTAAGTCTGTGTCCCGGTCTCCATTTCCTTCAGAGACACCAATCATAACGCGTTAGGGCCCCCTAAAGACTCCGCTCGACCTTCATCACCTTTGGGAGGCCATGTCTCCAAATAATACGTTCTGAGGTACCGGGGTTGGAGCTTCAGCAGAAGAATTTTGGGACACGCTTCAGTCCCCAATGGTGACTGGGACGTGGTACTAAAATCTCAGACGTGGTGCTGTGTTTCTGTGGAACTGCTGTGTTCTGTGCACCAATAGAAGTAGGTCACGCCTGTGGAATTTTAGGAATTCTCCAGGAGGAAAGGCAAGTTTGGCTAACTTCTAAGAAGTGGATCTTTCCGTATTAGATCTTTAATTCCAAACAGAACACGGGACGTATTTTAAAAATGAACAAAAGGAAATCAGCCCTTAATACGATTTTTAATGAGCCCAGAGAAGCAGAAGTGGAACACCAAGGAGGAAATCTGGTGAGCGAGGACAGTGTCACAAGTGGTGCCCCCCCCCCCCTTTTGCCCCACTGCCCGGTCACAGCCTTTAAGGGATGGCAGTCACCTTTGGTTCAGGGGGCACGGTGTTCCCAGACGGTGGGCGCCGGGCAGCGAGAAGCCCGACCGCGTGAGCAGCGCACGGCGGCCGCAGCCCACGCTCCTCCCGGGCGTCCCCGCGTCACCTCGCCACGCGCTCTGTTCCAGACCACGCCACGAGTGTTCCGGTGTCCCTGCTCCTGTCACATGCTCACGGTGGTGGCGTCTCCTGAAACGCTCCCGGAGAGACTCGTGTGCCGTCACGGTCTCCCAGATCGGTGGCCCTCCTCGCTCCGTGTGACGGTCTGGCCTCTGGGGAGCCCTTCTGAGCCTTTGCCCCAGGGCTTAGAGGCCAGGACCCGGGCCTTTGTCCCCCGCCTCCTTTTACGGTGCCTTCCGCTCACTTCTTTTTTAGTTTGTAGTATTCACGGAGTCCGAAAACCAGGACGACACTCTAGGGTGCGGTGCCCGCGGAGTCTCGTTCCCGCACGAGCTCCCTCTCCCCGCTGCTGTGGAGCATCTCTCCTCGGTCTCCTTTCTTTAAGTCAGAACGGAAACAAAAACGAAAACAGCACCGGGTACGGCCGTGCCCCTCCCGCGGGAGCCCGCGTCTCCCCGTTGACCCCGAGCCGCGCTCTGGCGGTTGTGCGGGGCTACCTACCCGCGGCTTTGCTCGGTCGGTAGAGGACGGCGTCGCGGTCGGGTTTTCTCGGGATTTTCTTCGTAACGTGCTCTTCCTGGCGTGTCTCGTGCGGGGTGTGGTGTGCGGTGCGCGTGACGTGCGAGAGCCGCGCTCGTCAGCTCGCGTTCTCAGAAAGGCTTCCGGTCAGCAGACTGCGAGCGGTTCGGTCTGAGGTGAGACAGAAGTGATGCGTGGATTTGCAACTTGCGGGGTTGGCGTCCCCGATCCCTGCCGTTGTTCAAGAGTTCACCGTATGTGCCCGGACTCTCGTTAGCCTTGTCTTTTTTTAAGTGATCTTCTCGAGATGGTTTTTAAGTTTTAGCATCTGTTTTTTAAGATCTCTTTTGTTTGTTGTTGAGTTTATATTGAGGGTGAGCGCGTGTGCACGTGAATGGGGGAGGGGCGGGGGGGAGGGGGGAGAACCCCAAGCAGCCTCCGCGCTCAGCTCAGAGCCTG